CCTCCAAGCCTATCTATCTTTTGCGTTTCTTCCATGTGAAACTTTTCGCCTGATAGGTGTTCTCAGATTTGCCACTTTTTTGCTAATTACTATATCCCATTATTTCTTTCTTTTGCTGCTTAGTACCTCTTCCCCAAGTCATTTGTCAATGAGAACTCAACGCCGGCCAACGGCGCGGCACCTCAGGCCGCATCCGCGATACAACAGGACGCGGCAGCAGAATCGACAGCGGACTCGCCACAAGACTCGGTTGCCACGGAAGCAAACAAGGCGGATACCGTAAATGTGCAAGCTGTGCGTAACTTTGTTCTACGCCTGACCTGTCTGTTAGAGCGATCACTTGAGGTAAGTCAGTCATCTCTAACTTCTCCTCCTCCTACTTCTCCGTTTTGTGTTCTCGAGACTAGGAATTCAAATCGCCCATGGGGAGAGTAGAATCCAACAGGAAGAAATTTATAGTATAGGGATAATCAGTACTAACTGTTAAACTGTGGCCAATTCCCCCCCTCCCCCGTTTGTGTAAATTCATTTGGTGCACGCGTGAGGGGTTCCTGCCATAATCAAGCGGATGAGGCTCTCATTTGTACTGTCCTGAGGTAACTAAGTAGCCGTCATGAGAGGCTTTCCTAACATTATTCTTCGTGGTATTTGACTGTACTGTGAAGGTGCCATTAGAGTCATCTTCCAAGTAGTAGGATGAGTGTCATGAGATCACTGTTCTTTCTAGCCAGCGGTTACGCTCGGGTTGGATGATTTAGGCGGCGTTGATAGCCTTCACTATACAGTTTTCCCGCGCATTTTGTCGCCGGTTTTCCGGGGAAATCATCTGACCCCCTGCTGGATGTCAGTCACGTACGACCTTGCTGGTCACTACTAGTCTAGAGTGTAGTGGGGCTTCATCGTGAACAGGATTATTGAGAGGGGGACTTGTCCAGCACGACTCGAATACATTTATTTTTAAAGTTCATTGGATTGTGTATAACCTCGATAGCTCCATCTGACCTGATAGTAAGTCCTATCGATGCGTTCATAAACAGAACTGCTAGCCTTCGCCAGAAGTGAACCTAATTTAACGTCAGCGATGGAGAGAACCGCGGGTCAG